TTTTTACAGCTGCATTTATCAGTTTTTCTTGAGTTCTAATTCAGATTTTATAGAAAATGGTCATTTTAACCTAAATTAAGTGAAAAATATATAAACATTTCTAAATTATGAATGTATATTGACCTAATAAGAAATGTAATTTTTATTAAACCTAATTGAATAGAAATTTCACTTGATGCAACTCTCTTAATATATTTGAATCCCTTTCCCTGTTTTTTCTTTTTTTTTTTTTCATGCTTTTCTGTGCCCCCATGAAAACACACTGGCCCCCTCCTGCCCCCCTGGTATATTTGGTCTAGAACCGCCACTGATTGTAAACAGACTGTATTTCAGTTTTTAGTATTTATGTTTTGTTAAAAACACTTTGCTTCACTTATATGTAAATATCTGATTCAGAGCTGATTCTAAAATGTTAAATGACAAACATTGATCTTTACTGCTGTAAAAAAAAACTGTGTGCTTTTTGGTCACATGTTGTCTTTGTGCCGGATGAAAGGCTTGGACCTCCGAGTTCACATCCAGATGATTGTTCTGACCTCTAATGGAATGTTGCCATGGTTACTCGTGTTATTGTGTATTTTCTGTGAAAGGGTCACAGAGGTCAGGCAAGGGGTCAGTGATGAGACCTGAAATCATTGGGATGGCAATTAACTGGACACCTAACCAGCAGTTTGTTTGTTTTGTCAGTTTTTTCCTCCTGAATGTTCTGTGCAGCAGTGACAGAGTCGGAAAGTTTTATGGGGTTGGCCACGCAGGGACCAATGTGTACGGGGGTTCAACCAGTTTAGTACATTATTTTTTTTTAATAATTTACAAAAGAGGGTCCAGATTTTTTTCAAATATATGTAGGGGTGAGTTATGTTCCATTATTGTTGCAAGAAAAAAAACATGTCTGTAAATGGACTTCGAAAAAAAAATTCTATTTTTCATACTAAAAAAGGTTTTCATTTTAGTTAAAATTGTTGTTTTTTGAATTATTTTTTATGTTTTATTCATTGTTTAATTTTTTTTCTCAAACTTTAAACGTATTCACATCTTTTAAAATGTCCTTTAACTTATTTTAGTATCTGCTGTGAAAATAGAGGAAGTTAGACGAAGGCGTAGTCCATCCCATAACGTACGAACATCTGAGCAGTAAAATGGAGAAATATAACCTTATACAGTGGGTATCTTCTAAAATGCTAATAAACCTGTCTATGCTTTGTTTATCCTGGGAGAAGCTTTTTCTCTTCATTAAAGCTACAGTGTGTAATAATTACATGCATATAAAGTCAGAAATTTAATATATTATACATAACTATGTTATTTATCATCACCTATGAGCTCAGCCTTTTAACCATAATATTTGCGTTGCCTTAGAATTCGTTATTTATAATTACATAGGAGCGGG